AGTTACGAGATGATTTGATCAAATAATGGATATATGACACGTAACCTGAAGTTACGAGATGATTTGATCAAAGAATGTGTATATGACACGTAACCTGAAGTTACGAGATGGTTTGATCAAAGAATGACACAAGATGATTATGAACGAATGAAAATAAGTGTCATATGAAAGTGATGAATATAGTAATATACTCAGTTGATATGATGAACTCTTGAAAGAAAAATGTGCACATTACAAATGATATGAGTTCAAAGTCCTCCAAATGTATATTGAAATCGAGAACAAAATGGAGACTATATGAACTCCCCTCAAGAAATTCAATACTGAAAATACAGATCAGGGATCTGTTAAGATGAGGGGGAGAATCAATGATTGAAATTTGGAAATGATATACGGAAAGTGTGCAAATTATAAACTATATGATACTGATGATGGTGAATTATATGAAATGATATGATGGTGGAATAATACGCTGGAAGTGTTGGTATCGTGCAAATTGAAATTCCCCAAATAAGTGATGAAAGGGGGTATATTTACTATTGATGAAATCAATTGATAATGAGATATCTCAATATATTACAGGGATTAATGGAAATGATTAAATGTCGACAAAAATAAATGAATAGCGCTATATAAATGATATTAACGATGATGAAATCAACTGAAATGTGAATATTGAGAACTATTGACAGTAAGACCATTGAAATCAATTGATGATGAGAATGAGTTGCACAAAGCATGATATGGCATATTATCATGAATACCATCAGTATCTGAAAATCTGAATGACTTTATATGATACTCATGCATATTATGGAAAGATTATTATGGTGAATATATGGAATACGCGTTGTACTCTTTTTTCTTTGGCTGAGGTTTTGTCCCATTGGGTTCTCCTAGCAAGGTTTTTGATGAGGCAACATGATGGTGTATTCACATGGATAGTGTACTCTTTTTCCTTCATTAGGATTTTTGTCCCACTGGGTTTCTTCTAATAAGGTTTTAACGAGGCATATTCATGGTATGATGAGGACTACTGGATAAATGATATGATTCCTCACGATGATAAGAGAGATTGTAGTAGCTGTACTCTTTTTCCTTCGATCAAGTTTTTTCCCCACTGGGTTTTCTTGACAAGGTTTTAACGAGGCAGTACGTGGATAGTCCACTAAAGATGATCTATTTGAGGGGGAGCAATGTTGTGCTTCCACAATGCTCAGGTTTTGTCCCACCAGGTTTTCCTGAAGAAGCAATATTATGATTTTACGATGATCAGGTTTTGTCCCACCGGGTTTTCCTGAGGAAACAATGTTATGATTTCACGATGATCAGGTTTTGTCCCACCGGGTTTTCCTGACATGCTGAAGCAACGGTACCTGATGGCCACAAGATATACTTGAAAATGTGCAGATTGGGCTTTGTTCAAATTAGTTAAAATATGTTTAAGAAATAGTCATTCAAAGGGGAGTGTTATGAACCATTATGAACCACACAAATAATATCTGTATATGTGAATGACTATTTTGCCCTCGATGTATTTGTATTATTACGATTGTGCCATCAGAAGTTTTATTATAAATAGGAGCTTCAGTTATAATGAAAAACACACCTAAGAGAATACATTTTCTCTATTCTCTCTCTTTCTCTCTAGTTTTATAACAGTTATCAATTTCATGTTTGTTAATCCGTTTTTAACTATGTTTTTTTTTTTGGTTAAATTTGATACATTAAAGATTGTATATGACTTTTTGTTAAAAGTTGAGTTTCATTTTTTAGGTATATGTCTCGTTGATTATGAGTAATATGTAACATTAGCAATTTTTTATCGTGGGTTAATCATCAAGGTTAAATGTTATTTTATTATATTTATCAAAATTTACGTTTATATTATTGTTATTTTTGTTCTTTTTTTCATGCCATAAGATATATATACATATATATCTGTATAATATATACACAATATGTATAATATATTTGTATAATATACATAGAAAACAACTATAAATAATACACAAACAAAAGTAAATACCACTTAAACATAAGAAACAATTCTAAATAATACTTAAACAAAAGTAAATACCACTTAAACAAAAGTAAAACACCACTTAAACAAAAGTAAATACCACTTAAACAAAAGTAAAACAAATGTTCAGCGTTTGACTCTTTATTCATAAGTCAGTTTGATATGTTCTTTTTTTTTTTTGTCTGCTTGAACTACTGCATCCTTTCTCCCAACTAGATAAGAACCTCTTCGTTTTTTGCCTTCCAGTACGTGACATCTGAGGTGGTGGTTTGAGGGTTGCATCTTGATTGGTTGGAGGTGTCATTGTAGTTGCATAGTCAACTGGGTATACTTCTTCTGAATATGTTGCCAACATGGTCTCTGAAGAGTAATACTTTGAACAATATGGCTCGGGATCTTCGTGGTTTCCTCGTATGGCACATAATGCATGTGCGCATGAGAGTTCATCCATTTGGAATCGATTGCAAGAACAACTCTTATTTTCCATATCAACAACAAACACCTTTGTACCATTTGATACTCGGTATATAGTGTCACTTGCCTTTTGCACCTGCATTTTGTTAATACAAATAATATTATGTATATATTGTTATTTAAATGAATAGTGTACTTACTGTTAGATGCATGGATGTTTTGTAATTTTCTATCAACATGTTGTTCCCCAGCTTTGCAAGTTTTGTAAATGTCCCTTTTGCATCTTCCTTGTTTTTAACATTCCATTTTTGCTGCATCCCTCTTAAACTCTCAAATAGCAAAGTTATTGGCATCTCTCTTACAACCTTCGTGGTAGAGTTTATTGATTCAACAACATTTGATGTCATGGTTAAAAAACGGTTTCCTTTGCAATGCACTCGCGACCACCTTTCAAAGCAAACATATTTTCTAAATATTTATTTACACGACTATCTGCATTCCTCATTGCAGTCACGTGCTTCTCAAATTCATCATGTGTATATGATCAAGCTGCAGCCATGAATGCCTGTTTTACGGCCTCTGTGTTTTTTTTTTAATTTCGTAACAATGTTTTTCGACAAGTGGTAGATGCAGTTTCAATGTTTTGCCTCTGTAAAGACCTGCATAAATTTTTTTCACTATGTCAAATTTTAATATCTTAATTTTTTAAAATTTATATAACAGAATATAAAAATGTTATTTAATTTTTTCTCTCTTTTGGCACAACTAGTATTTATAATGCATTTACTCTGGTTTTTTAAACTACAGACTAAAATTTTCAACGCCTACAATCGATTTTTTTCATCCCCCATGTATTTGTCCATCTTTCCTCTTTCATCTCTAATTATCGCCCATGTATTTTTCTTCTTCCCTCTTTCATCTCTAATTGTCAGAAGCATTTGTAGAAAAAGATAATAAATCACTGGCTTTTATAGCGTCAGGGACAAAGGTAACCTTCGATTTCTTGCTCTTTTTGTTTATAAATAGATTTTTTTTTTTTTTTTTAATGTAAAGACTCCAGCTTTATTGTGGGCAGGCCAAATTTGTATGTTTCTATGCGTTTGATTTGTTAATGTTATATTCAAGAATCTTATTTTATGTGGGCTTGTTGATTAGTTTTATAAGAAGATAACAGTGTAATCAATAGTAGATTAGAATAAAGTTGTTATCTTTGTGTGTACAATTACAAAATTATGCAAATTATGTCACTGTGAAATATGGGAATAATTGATGATTTTAAGACTTCATTTTTTCTGGTTTAAGATGCATATTTTTTATGTCTTCCATTTTTCTTTTCTTCGTTTTTTACATATTATCCTTGAAGGTTGCTTGTGAAGTTTGGCTCGTTACCGAGCTAAAGGCTTGATATCGGCAATTGATGTTTTTTAGATAGTGTTAGCTCTATATGTTCTAACATTTTCATTTTCTTCTATTCCAGTTTCGATTTTTATTGCTAAAAAACCCTCTGTTTATAGCTTAATCAAGAGTAATCTCAAGCTCGTAATTTTTTAATTTATACATTTTTTATTTATTATTTACTTTAATAAAATATAAAAAAATGCATAATTTCAGTATGTTTTGTTTACCTTTTCGATGGTGTGCTATATTGAGGCATGTCTGTATGATATTATACATAATGCTTCGCGTTCCGACAGAGTTGTTTTTAGGTGGCTGCAAAACCATTAATATGCTTTGTTGTTTTCGAAATTAACAACACCGTATGCTAGGGGCAATATGTGGCCTGATGCGTCCTGTGTACTTGCTATTATAAGAGTCCCTCCATAAGCAGACTTTAGGAAAGTTCCATCAACAATAATTATTGGTCGACAATGTTCCCATCCTTTAATTGATGCTTTATGTGCAATGAAAACATATTCGAATATGTTGTCTGCTGTTTTTTGCAGCTTTACAACTAACCCTGGGTTGCTCTTGTATAGCTCTTCAAGATATCCAGGTATTAATTGGTAAGACCCATACGGGTTGCCTTGCGCAGAATCTAATGCATTTCTTCTTGCTTCCCATGCTCTTTTGTATGGTAAATCAACCATGTACTGTTGTTGCATATCCCGAATTACATCGACTGGTGTATAGTGCGTCTTTAGATTAGCAAACTTTCTTTTGATGCATTCTCCCACTAAGTTTGCAGTAGCTTGCCGTTTTCCATTCATGCATTTTCCAAGTGCAGATGAGTGAATATCATTAACCTGACGTACTTTGAACATTAAAGATTCATCAACAGATGATGCTTTCATAAACCAAGGACATGTACCGTCAATGCATATAAGGGAGTACTGCTTTGGACACGATTTCACAACACCAAACTGGAAATGCTGTTCAATTGCGTACATGCTTGCTTTGTGTTTAAGCTCTGCTTTGTCCATATATGTTTGTCCCTTCACAATGAGACACATATTGTTGCTGTTTGCCTCTGATATATTTGACTGGGAGTTGTTGGACATCATTTTTTGCATTTTTTACATTGCATAAACTAGCAATGTGGAAGAATAATTTTCTGCAACATCCTCTACACGCGATGACTCCTCATTTCATTGTAACTTCTTGAGTTTGGCATCAATTGAAGTGGCTCTACTCTGTTTGTGTATGTTGTTGCAACAATTTTTTTATTCATACTTGGAATTGCAAGGATCGAACTCTTTTTTTGCAGATTTACACAAATTGGGTAGCGAGTACATTCGGTTTCTCGTTTTTCCAATTCTTTATAAAAATTGAAACTTCGGTCATCAGTGATGGCTATTGGCGGGTACGTGTCGCTAACTTGGTATTTCAAAATAAATCTGTCGAACGGTGTTTCCGGTTGTATCGTTTCTGCGATGACTTCTAGCAATTGCTTGAATGTATAGTCATCTTCAAGCATAATTCCGTGAACTTCGTAACCTGCATAATTTTTTATCACTTTGCCACCCACCGTTGTAGTTGATGAAAGTCAGAAATGGAGGCATTTTCTCTGCAAATTGTGTGAGTTATATTAATATAATTATACCTAATTTACTCAACATATAAACAGATATTATATTTTTTATGAAGTACCTGTTGGCTGCCACAATCTCGATATCTAATTAATCAGATATCAAGTTTCTGATTTTGTCAGTTTCCTCTTTCTCTATGTTTATTGTTTGTTTTCAGCTTTGTATGCAGTGGTGTTTTGTTTCTGGGAGTGTAAGTTTTGTTTTTCTGGTTTTTTTGTTTGCAGGGAAAGGTGGTTTTTAAAGTTAGTTTTTTTTGTCTTCTTCGGAATATGTATGGAACATGCTTTATGCACGTCTGTTTGATTTTTATTTTTTTCATTTTTTGTTAATTCACGTACTATTATAAACAACCTTTGTCTTTTTATAAAAAGTGTGTTCTGGTTGCCTTTTTGTAATACTTTTCTATATAGTGGGTAGTTATATAATTTTCCCCTCAGTCTTTTGAGTAATTATTATCGAACCGCTTGGCATTAGTTGAATTAGGCCCATTGTTCTTTTTAGCTCATTTAGTTGTGGCCCATATGAGTTAAAATCAACAGCTTGTTATCCTCCCCGTGCGATCGAGTCACTCTCCCAATCTGTACGGTTTTTCTGTTTCGATCGTTCAGTGAGACCTCTTCTCTCACGTTCGAATCTCGCATTTAAAATCACCGTGGAGATTACTCGGTCTCTCAACAGTTTATATCATATCTCTCATCTCTCTCTCGCGTAGTAGCTCCTGCTAAAAAAAAAAAAGATCTGCCGGCGTCTGTCATTGAATCCAGCAACCTCCGAGCAGCATCTTTTCCCGACGACCATCATCCTCACCGCATGACCACCTCGTTCGCGAATAGTCCTCGAATAGCCGATGTTTGTTGGCGTCCTCCCCGTGAAGCCATCGCCACCGTCTCCCCGCGACCATTTCCGGTGAAACTCAGTTCGCCGGCGTCCATTCCAGTGAGTAGCCGTTCATGAGCAGCCCTCTCAGTCCGTCCGAGAGATCACAAACAAAGCCATCTCTTTTAAGTTATAGTATTAATGAATAAATAAATATTTTCTGGGAAAATAGAGAGATTCTTCAAGGTAATTTATTTATTTACTAAATAAAACAATAAAGCGGAATTTCACGCAGCATAATGTGAGAATTCGAGTGAAGATACCTTTACCGAGCCAAACATATCATTCTCTAAGCCGGACTCGGTATTATCTGGCGTTTCACCAGACTGTAGATTCGATCTGTCCAGCAATTTCATAATTGCATTTTCATCCCACGAAAACTTGTTATTACTGTTGTAAAAATTAATTATAAACGGCGGATTAAAAACGAGTTTCAACACATATACGTATTAAGAATTTATAAATAGAAACCACAAACATCAACCACGGGAACGTGAGATGAAACCAGATTTCTATTAGTAAATAAAATAAGTTTATTATAAAAATAAAAACTTAACTGACAGTTCTATATTGTCATAGAACACATATAGCCGAATCACAGAAAATATGTTTGCCATGAAGAAACAGACGCCCCGATACTGTGCAACGAGTACTACACTTTTTCTCCCAGGATAAGATGGCTCAAAGTGTGAAGACTGCACTATCTAACACACTCACCTCGATCAAAATCTCAGTCGCCAAAAACCCTTAATTTTTCTAAGTCTTTGGAGGATAAAAGAAAATATATGTATGTTCTTTTCTTTTCCTTCACTTGATGTGTTCTCCCGTAGGCATGCATGCACAATATTTATAGTGTTTCTAATGCATGCTTGCATTCAATGAAGAGAAGTTCATTCAATGCCTTCATTAAGGCAAAAGTAAATGAAACATTGAGTTTCATCTCACTTCTCAATACCGAAAAAAAAAAAATGCTCGGTTATGCTTTTCATTGAATTTGGACATTTACATTAAACACATTAAACACATCCTTTTATCTAAGGATTCCCACATACAATCCTCTTTTCACATGTAATGTTTATTACAACAATCCCCCACTAATCCTTAGATAATAATTATCAGGGTCATCATAAATTGCTTTCATTAATGGTACCTTCCAGTTTGAACCACCACCTAAGTTATCCAACTTCTGTCATCACCGAAATGAATGGATCTAAGCCTTGAATTCATGTCGTGAGTGTAATGACGTTCATTAGTAACAACAACTTATAGGCTATGTTTTGATCTTTAGGGTTGACACATTAAGGCCATATGTCACGATCCTGTTTCATGAGTATCTTCAAGGAATAACCCTTTCCCCTAGTTCCGGCCAAACAACTATACTCATTTAGTTGGGCATCTCCAAAGATGCACTGCTTACATCTTGTTTAGAAAACTCGACCCCATTAAGAGATAAACTCTTACTATACTTGCAGTTAACAGCATCTTCCAGGTATGCTAGGGAAAGAACTCATCATACTTTATATATAAAGTATCAGTCTTGTAATTTTAGGTGCACAATGATACATTCAACAGCTTGTTTATACCACATTGAACCTTCCTTGTGGGATCTCCACTTGAAAGGTTGGGTTGCTACTGTAGATGTATCTCTTATGGGTTATTCAGTCCCATCCCTATCTTGGATTTTTGTACTAAAGATAGATCAAGTCCTTTAGTCAAAGGATCAGCCAAGTTGTCTTTAGAATTAACAAAGTCAACGATCATAACCTTATAAGACACTAATTCCTTTATAGATTTTAGTCTAACTTGGATGTTTCTCTTTGTTTTCTGATTGAACTTTTGACTTCTTATTTTCGCAATTGTGGTTTGACTATCACAATGCACTGGTATCGGAGGTAAAGGCTTACTTACAATGGGTAGTTGCATCAACAGCCCATACAACCATTCCGACTCCATTCCAGTCGTGTCCAATGCACATAACTCAGCCTCAAAAGTAGACCGTTTTACCAAAGTCTGTTTGGTAGACTTCCAGGAGACAGCGCCCCCACCCAAGGTAAATACATACCCTGTACATTCGTTAGTTCCGGGATTTTTAGCTATCCAGCTAGCATCACTATATCCCTCAAGTACACCAGGGAACTTGCTATAGTGTATAGCCAATGATATTGTGCCTTTAAGATACCGAAGTACCCTATCCAAGGCTTCCCAGTGAGTTCTATTAGGACAACTTGTATATCTAGCTAGCTTTGATACAGAAAATGAAATATCTGGTCTCGTACCATTAGCTAATATTGCAAGCTTCCAATAACGAGCATAAAGTCTTTATGCTCGGTACAGAGGCACAGGCGGAAATTCTAGAAGGACAAAAACGAATAAGTGCGGTTGCAATTTTGAGATCAAAGTAAAAAAGTTGTCCGGCGCTCCATACTGGAGGATCTGCAGATGTAGCAATGTAGAGAAAGGCTACCATAACCATGCATTTAATGTGTATCCTGAGGGTCATAGCCAGTTGAGCGGTCTCAGCGCTTCATCTAAGAGAATTGTTCGTGAAATGACGGACGCTCAGGTGGCCCCGAAAAAAATTATGGCCGCGCTGAAGGAAAAGAATCCGGGAGACAACGTTCATGTGCGGCAGGTATATATATTTATATCTTGTAATATATGTTTTAATTATTTTTTTTAAGTTAATTATGATAATTAGTAATTTTTTATATGTAAAAGTTATTGTAATAAATAATAAATTTTATTATATTTAGTAATGTATTACTATTGTGATAGTTAATAATTTTTTTATCAAATTAATAGCATTAATATACTTTTTTATTTATTAATATAATAAAATTTTTGTTTTAAATTATAATAATCATTATAACTAACGCTAATCGGTGACAGGTATATAACTTTAGAGATAAGCTGCGGAGAGAGGATTCCGACGGTAGAGACGTTCCTACTCAGCTTATGCATTTGGCCGTGAGCAGCCAGTATACAGTTTATGTAGAATCCGATCCGAACACGAAAGTGCTGACGCATATATTCATGGCCCATCCTGCGTCGATCAATCTATTCCGGACATATCACTGGTATGTCGGTATAGATTCCACGTATAAAACCAACAGGTATGTTACTTTATAAATACTTTATTAGTATGAATCTTAAATAGTGTGTCTGATTAAGTTAAGTTTTATGTGCTTATATTTTTTGTCTTCTTGGTTACATTTGCACAGGTACAAGATGCCGTTTGTCGAGATGATTGGGATGACGCCGTGCAACCAGAACTTCCTGATTGCGTATGCCCTCATCAGGGACGAGAAAGAGAGCAGTTACGACTGGGTTCTAGAGAAGTTGAGACTACTGATAGGCCAAAGCGTATATCCTTATGTTGTTGTCAGTGACAGAGAGTTGGGTCTACTCACTCCTATTCAGAGGCATTTTCCTGAATCAGCCCACTTACTCTGCACGTGGCACATCAACAAGGATGTGGAAGCCAGAACCTACCACCTATTTGGGAAGAATAAAAAATTCTCGGAGATTTTCACGCACAGTACGTGGAAGGCGATTGCAGAGGCCAGTACGTTCGATGCCTACAACGATGCCGTTGCCGAGCTGCGCGCAAAATATTCGAACAACAAAGAGGTGCTACGGTATCTGGAGGGCACATGGTTAGTGCACCGCGAGAAGTTTGTGAAGGCTTGGACGAACCGATTGAGACATTTTGGAAACACAACTTCCTGTAGGGTGGAGAATGCCCACTCTGCGTTGAAGGAGTGGCTTCAAACGTCCACCGGCGCGCTTGATACGGTTTGGCAGAAGGTTAATAAGCATATCGATAATCAAGTGACTGAAATCAAGTACGTACTGCAATTTTTAAATGCGTTATTATATTACTGCATTAATTAATTATAATCTAACGTTATGTAACGTATTATCAGGACGGCGCTTGAGGCCTCGAGATCTAAGAAGAATACACGGTATAAGGGAATCCGTTTCGGGAGCGTGATACTCAGGGTCTCGCATTACTGTCTGAGTATATTGGACGCTGAACTTACGAGGATGCGCAAGTTGGACACCGATGTTTACACTAGCTGCAGTTGTGTATTGCA